CGCTGCAGAATGGCAGCACACTGTCCGGAGGCTTTCCCTGTTGCAAGGGGGTCTGAAGCCAGATAAGCGTCCCCCCTCATGCACAGTCCTCTGCACCTCAATCCCCCTCACTCACTCTCCTCCCCCCCACCAAGACCCACACCTCCAACTTGCTCTGACACCGTCCCTCTTGGCCAGAAACCCTACCCCCAACCTCCTGCACCCTCTCTCCTGGCCACACACCCTGCCCCAGGCCCCCTCCCTCCTGGCCATATAGTTGCATAGGGGTTCTGTGGGGCCCAAACCCATCCCTATTGGTAGAAGATGGTGGGAGGAGTTCTTGGAGGGGTCACACAACACTCTTTACTGAAGGTCATGTGTCCTTCTTGATCCCAGAAGTACCACCTCTAGGGCGGGACTTCCTGTGGCAGGTGGGCGAGGCCTAAGGGCCAGGATGCATGGCTAACAAGGTCCCCATTTTTGGTTCAGAAAATATGGTCACCATAGCTATAGTGGCTACTGTTTCAGAACTGGTTGGACACCATGGTTATAGATGTTCCTGAGCAGTAGTGAATTTAGAATTTTCTGTGACAATTAATTCATCTCTGACATATAATTTAATACATTATTACCCTGAGATCACCACTTATACAAAGTTTTTTAAATTCTATTGTAGAAAAAAAGCCAAAGACCTACTTTTTCTGTATTAAAATCATCTCAATTTACTAGCATTTGTACCTGTGCAATAATACAGGATCTAAAATTAGGCTTTTAGCCTATTAAAAGTTTTTTTAAAAAACAAGCTTATCTCATGAATGCAAGTACTATTCTTTATGCTTCCTCAGTGAAGGATAACAATTGTGCATTTCCCATAACTCATTGTTTTTATCCCCATGGTCAGGATGACCCCTCAGTGTTTCATTCCTCATGTGCTGACCTCAAGTTGTTGTTTTATCTTCCTCTGGACTCCATATGCAAAACAGGGCTTCCAATACGTAATCTACATATGAACTAAGGCAAATAAAGGGATGTAGATTCCTGTGTCTGGCAAAACCTGTCCAGGTGGGATGCAGATTTTAAAACCTTTTTAGTACATACATATACAAAACTTTTCACATATGCATACATCTCTCAGTAATTATGAGAGTCAGTATGATTTAAGTTTTTGTTAAGATTCCTCTCTTGACCCTCTTTGGATATGTGGTGAGTTTGTCACACCTCCAAGAGGGTCATAGCAAAACCTAAACATTGCTGTATTGAGAAACTGAAAGTGAAATTAACAAATGAAAGGAAAAATAATTTTCACTGGAAGAGCTGAAGGAAATGCAAAAGCTGCTGCATAGAGAGAAAAGCAAATAAGATATTTAAAATTCACTTGTTAGAATGAATACTTAAGATTTGATCCACTTACACTGTATATTCCAACTCCTACATGTACTTCAGATTACACTAGACAGTTTGATACCTCCTTCTCTTCCTTATTTTAATTAAGAAGTCTAGACTTTTGTTTCTCCTTTATAGATCTTTTCTATTTCTTTTACTATATCATTAGAGATTAAATGTTGTTTCATTATCAGCATCAAGTTTAGATCACTGCATCATATGAATCTATACTGAACAGCGGTTGTTTTATCCAGAGATCTTCATGGACTGTGTTACACATCCTTTTGACCTCAGAAATAATTCAAACCTTCAGCATGTTGCCTATGTTGATACAGCAGACATCTGTACACACCAGTGCGCAACAGACCATGGTAATGCACTCTTCAAGCCTCTCCACCACTCTGGCTCTAATGTAGCATCAACGATTCTTTACTAATAAAAAGCACTACACTGTTACATAATTTTTACCAATATTGGTTGCCAGTATATTTTAGGTTCAGTTTTAAAACACTAATATACAAGGTACTGCTTATCTTACTGCATGAACTGCTAGCTCCCCATAACCTTTTTTCACTTAGAGATGCTTCACCTGCAGTGAGTTATGGCTAGGATTTTCACTTTAGTTCTTCACCTTTATTATAAACGTCCTTCAACCACTAAAATGCATATGGAGTGACTTCAAAACTTCTTCTGTGGCTTGTGTGCATAACTGATTTTGAATTTGTCATTGGTGGAGAAGCTTGCTTGAAAGGTCTTGTAGAAGAAAGATTTTATATTAGTTACACTGTCAGCCTTTAGAAGACAATTTGATCGATGCAACTATTTTAGTTTTACCTTTAAATATGAAAAGCAGAGTACAGGTGCACTGCAGTATCTTTTCAAAGTGAAACAGCTCATCTGATATAATTTCCCCTCAGCCATCACTACCAGTCCACATCAAGGATGGTAGCCAGCAACCAAGGCCTAATTCTGCAATAAGTTCTGTGTAGGTGCACCACTGTGCTCACAGAGCCCCACTGAAAACAATGCGTTTCCTCTCAGGGCTCTGAACATTCAGACTTACAGCAGGTTCACAAGTCGAGTAAGTTTTCTGAATTTGCTGTTCAGATACAGGTTGAACCTCTCTAGTACAGAACTTTCTAGTCCAGAAACATCCATGGTCCAGAATGGTTTTAGTTAGACAGATGTCCACTTTTCATGGGTGTGGCCAAGTTTTCTGCAGTCCCAAAAAGTTTTACAGTCACTTATCCTAGCTCTCGGTGTTGTGTTATTTCACTCTAATTTACCTCTAAATGTCCTCTAGCAGCCCAGTAAGCAGTGGACACATTGGTAATGCTGCAAGACAATATCAACCTCCCATAGTCTGGAAAATTCTCTCATTTGGAACCAGTCAGGTCCTGAGGGTGCCAGACTAGAGAAGTTCAACCTATATCAGCTTTGCAATCTTCTACCAGTATAATAATCCCCTCTTCTCAGGCACAGATTGACATCCATATTCCCAAGGTATTAGTCAAAGTACAGTCAAAGCCCAGGCTTCAGAGAAAATAATGAATATATTATTAAAGTCGTCAAAGATTTCAGGATCTGTTCAAAAGCATCTGGCAGCCTAGATTAGGCCTGCTGTCTACCTATTGACTACCCCAGGTGTAGGCATTGCAGGAGCTAATTAGCTAGCTGAATGTTTGTTGCTAATAAGAGAATAAGCATTTATTTTTAACTACAGGCAGTCCCCGGGTTACGTACAAGATAGGGACTGTAGGTTTGTTCTTAAGTTGAATTTGTATGTAAGTCGGAACTGGTACATATTGTAGGGGAAACTCTAGCCAAACATTTCTCCAGAGCTCAGTTTTATTCTCCCACACCTCACTTCCCTCAGTCCTTTATTCTCAAGCTGAGGTGTCTGCTGAGAAAAGCTGCTCCGCGTCTCCCTGGTCTGCTGGGGGGGGGGGCGCGCTAGCTTCGCGTCTCTCTGGTCTGCTGGGGGGGGAAGCAGCTAGTGCGGGGTTGCCTCACCCCGTTTGTAAGTAGGGATCCAATGTAAGTCAGATCCATGTAACCCAGGGACTGCCTGTACTGATTGAGAACTTCCCTCTCAGACAGATACCCCATCATTATGCATACTACTACATCTTTCAAGCCAGGGATATAAATCCTTTTCTTTAGGCTGTTTTTAATTTAGTTGCTCCAAAACTGGACTAGAGGTGCTGCTGCCCCAGAAACATTTTCGGGTGTGAAGCCAGAATTTGATCTTGAGGGTTCATATAAATGCCTTCTGCATTGCTCTCCACAACAGGTTCTCAGATAGTAGGGTAACAGGGGCCTTTTAAAAGGATTATATCAGATCTTCAATGAAAGAATCTTGTTTTCCTACTACTCGAGAAGCATATTTTTGGCACTACATAAAGTCACCTAATGAAAACACATAGCCCACTTGATCACAACTGAGGTTGGGATCCTACAGTGAGCTACATGTGGGACGTGTTCTGCTCAAAAAACACCTGTCCTGGGGCCCCTTTTTGATAAGCCTGTACATGGCCAAGCTCAGTTTTGGGAAAATAAAGGGAAACAAAGGGAAATAATAACAATTTGGATATGCAAAATAGAACCAAGGAGAAAGAGGAAATGGTTATAGTAGAATAGACTAGTGTTTCACTTAGAAAATTATGTGGTCAACAGATAAGGAGCGAAGACAGAAAAACAAGATGCTGTTGTAATTTCTAAACTTGAAAGAGCTAATTTCTAAAAAATAGAAAAATGAGACAGGGAGCAATAAGCAAAACTGACAAGAGGAAATTGAGAAAAAGTAAATGAGCAGAAAAGGAACCAAATGGAAAATTGTGATAGAAACAGAATTTAGACTAGTGAAAGCTTCCTTTGTACAAATACCTATATGTTTTGGAAAGCATCCTACAGCTCTTAATCCAAGAGGAAAAGGAAAGATAGTATTAGCAAGATAGTGCTATTTAGCCTGAAGTCAAATGGTTGCCTATTGTTCCTCTTGGACACTGCAGATTAATGGCAAAGCTGGGTGTTTTGGCAAGCCAGACAGCTAGTTGAAGGTACATTTAAAAATCTAAAAGGCTAGAGGCTGCAAATTAATTAATACTCCAAGAAACTGGTTTTAAAATGGAGACAGCAAGTATCTGTTTACAATGACAATAAGAAGTCCTGTGGCACCTTATAGAATAACAGATTTATTGGAGCATAAGCTTTTGTGGGCAAAGACCCACTTCATCAGACGCATGATTTCTTGTTGTTTATGCAGATTCAGACTAACACAGTTACCCCTCTGATACTTGTTTACAATGACAGTGCTATGGGATGAAAGCTTCCCAAAAGTACATTAATAGTGTAAGCGCAAGGCACATTTTGCTTTGGTATCTGGCCAAACAAAAATAATCATAATTAAGGAATTTAAAACCACAACAAAAAGCCACATATATAATGATTCAGATTTATTAAAAAAATCCAGCTCACTAAATTCATGTTGATAAATACATCATACTAAAACATTTTACTTTTTTCAGCTCTTATCAAAATATTTTTCCATTAAATTCAGTAATTAAGAAACCTATTTTAATGTTGTTCTATCTAGCATTATTTCAGGACATACAGACCAAAAATTCTGCACATTTTACCTTCATACTTTGTTCAAATACATTCATTCAATGAGCTGTCTGCTCAGTAAGTCCTGATGCTCGTATTTTAAGATGGTGCACTTCGGGTTGCAGTTGCACGAAAATTCTGGAAAACAGGCACTAGTACAAAGTGAAACTAGCACAAAGAGCAACTGCAAGCAAAGGTGATTTTGACACCTTATTCCACTGTCTAAAATAAAATCTTCATAAGTTAGATTTTTTTTAAATTCATTGTTATCTAAAGATGTTTAGTAATAAAGGACAGGAAGCTTTACAAAAATAATTTTCCTTCTTACTGTATGTATAGGATTTTTTTTTTAATTCTACACCCTGTGTTATTCAGAAGGCCAGATTAGATTACCACAATGGTCCTTCTGGCTTAAAAAAAAATTAATGAAACTTTAAAGGAAAAATTATTAGCCCAATACAGGATCCTACTATACCCTAGAATGTAATTGTAATGCTTTGAAAAAACTGGCATAGATGTGCAAGCCTCTTGGTGCTGCCTTCTATTTTTTAAATAGCATACTAGAAATCCAACCAACCTCTATGCTTAATGTTACAGAAATGATATAAATCTACTTTTACACATTAGTTTTCTAGATTCCCGAAGTCAAAACAAATAACAATGTCCTCACATGATTCAGTGTAAATACACTTTTAAAACATGGATAATTGTACTGTTTTTAAACTCCTTTAATGTCTGTACAAGGTATTCTTCACTTCTTGTCCCAAGCAGCTATGGCACGTGCTATTAAGCAGTTGCTGTATTTCAGGTGACTGCACTCAGTACTAGCCAAAAATGTCCTCTTTACACAATCAATACAATTTGTAAGAGCTCCAATATCTCAAAATGGGCCAAATCCTGCAAAGCTTATCT